ACCCTATTTTTTAGCGTGCAAATGAATCTAGGGATGAGGACAGGTGGAAGGTAAATCGAAATAGTCTTAGCACACTGTGAGGAATCCATTTTTAAGCACCTGGAAAAGTAGGGAGATTAGGAACAGTCAGCACGGATTCACCATGTACAGGTCATGCCTGACCAACCTGAATGCCTTCTACAATGAGATGACTGGATCTGTAAATGCAGGGAGAGCAGTGGATGTGATGTACCTTGACTTTAGCAAGGCTTTTGATTTGGTCTCCCACAACATACTTGCCAGGAGGCTAAGGAAGGAAGTACAGGTCAGATGAATGGACTATAAGGGTAGATAGAAAACTGGCTGGATCGTCTGGCTCAAATCAATGGCTTGATGTCTAGGTTGGCAGCCGGTATCAAATGGAGTACTCCAGGGATTGGTCCTGGGGCTGGTTTTGTTCAATATGTTCCCATTCACTGGTGAACACAAAATGGAATGCATCCTCAGCAAATCAACAGCTGACACCAAGCTGGAGAGAAGAGTACATATGCTAGAGGGCAGGGCTAGGATTCAGAGAGACCTCAATCAATTTGGGGACTGAAACAAAAGAAATCTCACAGGGTTCAATCAGGACAAGTGCGAAGTCCTGCACTCAGGACAGAACAATCCCACACACTAGTACAGGCTTCAGATCAACTGGACAAGCAGCAGCTCTGCAGAGAAGGACCTGGCAGTTACAGCAGATAATAAGCTGAATATAAGCCAACAGTGTGGCCTTGTTGCAAAGAAGGCTAAAGGCATACTGGGCTTCATAGGTAGAAGCAAAACTAGTAGATAGAAGGAAGTCATGATTTCTATCAGACACTGGCGAGGTCTCATCTGGAGTACTCTGCCCAGGTTTGGGCCCCCCCACTACAGAAAGGATATGGACAAAATCAGAGAGTCCAGCACAAGGCAATGAAAATGGAGAGGGGGCTGCGGCACATAACTGATGAGAAGAGGCTTAGGGAACTGGCCTTATTTACTCTAGAGCAGAAAAGACTGATGAGATTTAATAGAAGCCTTCAACTACTTGAAGGGTGGGTTCAAAGAGGATGGAACTAGACTAGGGGCCAGCACAGGAGCGTGGCACTCAAAGCCATTTTGCTTGGCACATGCACCTTGGGGCAGATAGCAGGAAAGGGGCCAGGGTTGCACTGCCACAACAAGGCTAGGGTCCTGCAAGTCTCCCCTGCCATATGGCCCTGGCACACGGATGTCTTACACATTGGGGTTGCAGGGGGTTTTGGCACTCTGCCCAAAAACATTGCCAACCCCTGAGTTAAGCTGTTCTCAGTGGTGGCAGATGACAGAAGAAACAATGTTCTCAACTTGCAACAAAGGAAGTTTAGGTTAGATATTAGGGGGAAAAAACCCTCTCATGAGGACAGTAATAAAGCACTACAACAGGTTACGCAGAGAGGTTGCAGAATCTCCGTCGCTGGAGGTTAAGATCTGACTAGACAAAGCCTTGGGTGGGATGATCTAGTTGGGGATGGTCCTATTTTGGGCAGGGGGTTGGACTAGATCAGGGCTTCCCAACCTTTTTAGTTCACAGACTGGAAGTGGCTGCAGACGGGCAAACTGAGGACCAGAAGTGACCTGCATACTTTTGTTGCTGAATATAAAAAAGGATTGGCTACTGCTCCACAGTATGCCAGTCATTTCCAGACTTCTGGTCTAGCAGCCAACCCTCCTGTGGACTGGCAGCCAACCCAGTTGGGAACTCCAAACTAGATGACCTCCTATGATCCCTTCCAGCCCTAATTTTTTGTGATTCTATGATTGTAATGGAGAAGGGACCATCACAAAGATGCTCTTGTTGTTTCACCCATAACAGCTGTTGTCCATAATAGGGCTGCCAAACATACGGCCCACAGGTCACAGAGCCAGGTCATCTGGCCCATAAACTCTTGCCCTGACTACAGGTACGATACAGAAGGTTCCTGCCACGGCACCAAAGTTCCCGAGCGAGACCTATGGTGCTGAAGCTTGAGCACCAGCGTGGCTTATTCCCGTGGTGGCAGCCAAGAACCCAGTGCCAGGCTTCTTCCCCATGTTGGGCCTCTATCACTGCAGCTGTCACCCAAGGCTTAGCTGCTGCCACAGGAAGCAGCCATGGTACTCCTAGAGATCCAGTGCTATAGCTCTTGCCCAGTCAGTTGGCTGTGGCAGCAGAAAGAAGCTGGAGTACTGATGGGGCTCCTGCTGCCTTGGCTGCCAAGTATGCTGGTAAAAAAACTGGCACACTGGCACCCAATAGGACTGTGGAAAGTAGTCCACAATTGGGATTCCTTCCAGAGTAGCAGCCAAGCCATGTGGGATTCTGGGCCTCTTCCTTCTGCATGTGCTGGATGGTGGGAACGGGGGAAGAGGAAGAAGGAAGGGAAGAGGAGGAGGGCAACCAGCCCAACACCACTCATCAAGCCCATGAGGCCAGACAAGTTTGACACCAGCTGGTCTATAAAGATCTTTGTGTGCATTTAGAGGATGGAACATTTTCTTCAGGCCAACCCTGATGCAAAAGCAAGTGTTCTTCATACTACTCCTCAAGTTGGTCATTTCATTAATTTGTGCTGAAGAACACAAAATTTGTTTGCAATGAAGGCACTAGATGAATACATATATCTTTAAATCATTAAAGATACTTAATGTTTGTGAGATATTAGACGTAATAAAAAGGATAATCGATATGTAGATACATTATTTAACATATCCTTAATAAACCAAAGCAAATAATCAGGTACTGAACAAGTAGGATTTTGTTTCTCAGCTTTACTCTTTGGTTTATCTTAGAATTTTTCCCTTGAAAATGAATGCAAAAGGTGATGGGACCTGTAGGGGTCAGGGTATTCTTGCTCCAGTTCAGTAAAACATGCAAATAAGCACTAAGAACAAATCTCATGTACTACAATAGTAATTTAAGTATATATGCTTTATGTTGAAAATAGTGTAAGAGTGATATAGCCAGGATGGTGCAGAAATTATGCAAGGCAAGGATTACTTAGGGTGATTTATTTTACTGAACCAACTACACCGTTGAAATAAAAGTTAGGCTTTCAAATGCAAGATGTTTCTTCCTCAGGTCTGTATAACACAAACTGTATAACATTATGCTTATTCACTCAAAAAATTAAAGTTATAGATGTAACCGTCTCACTGGCTGAAGGGCCAACAACATTCAGCACCGTGGAGTTTGACTTTTTGAAGTTTCTATTCTAAAGAAAACTAGAAACACAAAAGTAAATGGAATTCAAAAGGTCAGCAGTACTCGAAGTGGCTATAAAGAAATCAAACCATATGCAACAGGAAAAGTGACTAGAGACTGAGGTACTTGAATCAAAAGGGAAGACCAAGTGAGAATGATTAATTCAGTGTTTAAAAATCAGAACAGTGTAATATATGCCTCTGTTGTACCTTTCCCATCAACATCCCAAGGCCTTTTAAAAAAAATGCTTAAGTGATAAATGCAGTCAGTAAAAACTCAAGGTACACATATCAGCTTCTAAGATCAAAGAGGAAACAAATCTGGCAGACGAACAGAAGTAAGTGATGTTGTCCAACAAGCACCGTCTCACTTAGGCAGAAAAACAAATCTGGTTGCAGTCATGACTTTTCTGATTTCAGTGGTGGAGTTATTATCTGTTAGTCATGCATAAAAAAAACACCCACGGAGTTTCAGTAAAAAGAACTACCCTATTTCAAGCCTTCAAGCAAAGGCCAAGAAAGAAACCTCTCAATTACAAAAGGTTAGTTCCTCCCTTTGGGAAGGAAGGCCTCAAATTGTACTTGGGTCATGTACTTTTAACATAAAACTAAAGTTGCTGGTAAGCTTTTCAGTCTAAACTCAAAACTGGCAGTTATATAATTAACTTTGAATAAATAAGTTCTTACGTGGTCTCCAATTTTATTGAAATCTTAACTGGGCACTATTCTTGGAGAGGAGATTCTTGAAAACTAAATACTGTATATATCTTGAGTAATCTTAGCATTGCAGACAGAGAGGAGTCTCCACACTCTATGGATTCCCTAAACAACTTATTTTTATAGCCTCGCTGCAGCAGTTCAAGTAGTACTGCCAATTCAACTTTGTCCCAAGAGAAATCGGAAGACTACAGTGTTTATTTCTTAACACTTAAGAGTGAACCTCAGAAGTAACAACAAGGAGTTTTGAGATTGACTATTGCTCCTCAGGGGCAAATCCAGGTCATGGCATTAAGCAGCACAGGGCCCAAAGAAGCTTAAGGCTTTGTTGGAACTACAGCAGCTTCACCCAGAACTGCTAGGTGCACAGCCTGGTAGAGAAGTGTGAACATTTAACCAGTTTTATAAAACTTCTACATTTTACCTAATTATTTTATACAGTATGTGATTTGAGACAATATGAATATAACCATCAACCCAAACCAACACCTGCTACTCAACTGAAATGTGACTTATCAGATAACAAAGCAAATCTGCATTACATGTCCAAGGTGTTCGAAAACGGTGCTGAAGATACATATTTAGAATCCATACAAGTGGCTGGGTACTTTCAGAAGTGCTGAATATTCATCAGTACCCAATGCAATTTTTTTAAAAGTATACTTAGCTGTTTTCAAAGCCAGGCTACTTATTAGCCTGTCTAAAATAGGGAACTAGGATCTGAACTTTAAGCCACATTCCTTAAAAACTTAACATGCACTTAAGCTTTTTCCAACTTCTCTTTTCAACCTCAGTTTTATTTTCTACCCTGTCAAAAACTGTCAAAACTGAGAAAACCAAATCCTCATTTTAAACAAGTATTTTCTAGTACATTTCCAGCTAAAATTCACTGAAGGATTTTTGCATTCTTATGAAAGAGGCCCATATTACAAAACTCAAAAAAAATTACTTCTATATTGTTCAACTCCCACCTTCTGCCACCCTATCTTCTGCATCTGTGAGAGAAATATGAAATATTGTGTGCTCCTTCAATGTCTTCCCTTTTAGCCTGTACTCACTCTGTCTTTGTCATCAGCTACATCACAAAGAATGTCATCAAGGTCTAGGATTCCTCCATCACCATGCTCTAGTCGATGTACTTGTATCCAATAGTTTGGATCCTGCAGGAAGGAAAGAAAACCATCAGAAAATGTCACACACATTTCCCAAGCTATTTTCCATTTCAGTTAAATTCTTACATACAAACCTTTGACCTGCTTTTCAACATCAGTGAATTATAAAAGAGGCCAAAGCTTCCATTATAGTCATATTTGAGTATATTGATCCTCTTTCCTATCATAAAGAGTTAGGGGAGCAATATTATTCCCAGTTTTATTACTATTACTTATGCAACAAGGTTTCTAGCACATCTTAGACTGATGTAGCTCAGGTACAGGCATAGAATAGGCATAAAATACACAGAACAGTCCAACTGACTAGGTTAAGATATAAGCTACAGGATATATCTTAATATGGTAAAGGAACAAGTTCTCTAATACGGTTCTTTCCAGTGACATTGTTATGTGAGATCTAGAAGTTTCACATGGTATGGTGTTTTGAGTGAATTACATGACTTACACACACACACACAAAAAAAAAGACAGGCTTCCACAGCCTCCCAGCACTCCCATACATAAAAAGCAAACCCTTTTACTAGAATCAAGTTTCATGCACAGAAACAAAGCCCTTTTAATTATAGCTTTCTGCTGAATTCAGCCTGACTTACTGCATTTGTTATTCCTAAAAGGAATTTCATCTGTCGTAAGAAAACTGCATTATGACCAGAGGCCTGGACACAAAGTTAGATACAACCTTTTTCACCCCAGCTACCCAACCTCTATAAAAAGAGCAATAAGAATGAAACGGAGCTGGTTAGTGTGTAACATTAACACAAATTCAGCATATTTCATATGGAAGGTATGATTTTCAGAATGAACTGTAATTTTGGATGCCTAAGTTTTGGGAGCTCAACTTGCAGCACCTTGAAGGGCCCAATTTTCAGAAAACAAATAGTCATCAGCCATCTAAAAAAAAGAACGTACCACAAACATTTGGCCATTTCATATCTCTACTTAGGTTTAAAAAAAAAGATCAGGGAATCCACAAAAACAAATCAAAACAAAAACCACTAGTCATTTATTAAAGCCTGTATGTTTAAAGTGTAGGAAAAAGCTAAGTATTTTATGAACAAATTCTTAAATCCCATTCTACATTAGATCAATATCATTAACTTACATTTTTAATACAGAATCTCAGCAGTTTTCTAACTCTGAGCTTCCAGTTCACATCTACTCAGATTAAGACTTGATCTAATTACAAGCTCTAAGGTCACGTACAGATATTACACGTACATTGGTACAGCCTGGTTTTCAATCTTGTATATCTGTAACTGAACAATTCAGCACTCGCACACAGACTGGCTTAAAAATGGCAGTACCCGGTCCAAGATAGATCTGGATCGACACTGTATCAGACTTAAGCAATTTAGGTTAGACCGGTTTATTGTGCCCGTGTCGGGCATGGGGGAGCAGTCCCCCTTCCTCCTGTTGCTCTGTCACATACAGACAGACATCAGTACTCCTCCTCCTCCTCCCCCTGCCACACACCTGGCTTCAGCTGACAGAGCGGCCAGCACTGGAGGGGCAAGAAGCTTTTGGCTGTGTTTGGGACTCTCCAGAAGCCCAGGGAGCCAGCAGGGCACGTTGGGAGGCATGCTAGAGCACCTTCAATCTGCTGGGCTCAGCCAGTGCAGGCAGCCCGTGTGCTCCCAACCTCAAAGGGCGAATATTTGTTGTGTTCACTCCCCCTCTAACCTAGGGCGCTTAGAGTAAAGCATGCCAACTGAGATCACTTCTGCCTCAAGCTTTTTGAACGTCTGTACCTGGCCTAAGACTTCAACTGTCTGAGTTGCATTTTGTTCCGTGTCAAAGTCATTGTTGTTACTTAAACAAAACAAACAATTACATTCAGCTAATCAGAAACCTGTGACACATGGATCAGACATCACGCGTATGTATTGCCTGGTTTGACTGTATTACTAATTTGAATCAGGAATGTTTTAAAAAGGAGCCTCCTTTTCAATGCAATTCTTGGCATAGGTGTGGTTTCAACAGGGCTTACCCATAGCCAAATTAGTGCCATTTACATCTGCATTTTAAAAAGCTGCAACTATGAAACACTATTAACTCAATTTAACTCATCAGTTAAAATATTACCAAGTTAAGCTTTTACAAGTCAAGGTAAGATGAGGGGGAAGGGGAGGGGGAGGAGGGGGAGAAAAGAAAAAAGTCAAGGCTTGCCAGATATCACCATGAAAGAGCACAAAGCAAAAAAA